TGCAGAGCCAGGAAGAACCCCTGTGCATTGCTGGGTGTGACCCAAAAAGCAAAAATCAAACAAAAACAACTTAGTCTAGGATCCATTATAAGTTGATTTCATATACCGGTACAAATAAATTTAAGATAGGTGCCCAGTTGTTCCAGAACCATTTGCTTAAGACTCCCTCCTCCCTCGTACAAAGACAATTTAGCCTTTGTGCTTTTGTCAAAATCAATTGTTCAGACGCATGTGGGTCTATTTCTGGATGTTCTGTTCTGTTCCATTAATCTCTTTACCTTCCTTTCTGCCAATTCCACCCAGTTCTGACCGCTAAAATTTTCTAATAGGTTTTGAGTGGCCAGAGGTATGGTACAGCAGGTAGGGCAATTTGCCTTGTACCCTGCTGATCTGGGTTCAATCCCCGGCATCCCACAAGTTCCCTCGAGCACCACCAGGAGTAATTCCTGAGTACAGAGCCAGGAGTAAGCCCTGAGCATCGTGGGGTGTGGCATTAAAACATTTTTATAACAGGCTTTGAAGTCAAATAGCATAAATTCTCCAAACTCTTTCTTTTTTTTTAATTGACCGTAAATTACACAGTTACAAAAATTCATGATTGAGTTTCAGCCGAACAGTATTTCAGCACAATCCCTTCACCAGTGTCCACTGCCCTCCACCAACGTCTCCAAGTTTCCCTTCTGTCCCCCAGCCTGCCTCTGTGCCACCATTGTCCTCGTGTTCCTTTCTCTTTTTTAAAATTTTTAATTAATTTATTTTTAAAAATTTTTTGCTTTTTGGGTCACACCCAGCAATGCTCAGGGTTCCTCCTGGCTTTGCACTCAGGAATTACTCCTGGCGGTGCTCGGGGGCCCTATGGAATGCCGGGAATTGAACCTGTGCAAGGCAGACGCCCTACCCGCTGTGCTATCACTCCAGCCATTATTTTTTAATGAATCACCTTGAGGTACTGTTACAGACTTACAAACTTTCTTATTTTATTTATTTATTTATTTATTTTTGCTTTTTGGGTCACTCCCGGCGATGCTCAGGGGTTATTCCTGGTTCTGCACTCAGGAATTACTCCTGACGGTGCTCGGGGGACCATATGGGATGCTGGGATTCGAACCCGGGTCAGCCGCGTGCAAGGCAAGCGCCCTCCCCGCTGTGCTATCACTCCAGCCCCAAGACTTACAAACTTTCATGCCTACATTTCAGTCATACAGTGGTCAAGTACCCATACCTCCACCAGTGCCCATTCTCTACCACCAATGTTCCCAAGATCCCTCCCACCACTCCCACCCGTGTTCCTTTCTCATACCCCCACCCTAGTGTCCAAGCCTCCTACTGAAGACCAGTTTCGTTCTTTCTATTGCTTCTCTTGCATTTGATACTCCCCTATGAAATTTCTTTTTTTTTTTCATTTTTTTATAATTTTATTTATTGAATCACCGTGAGAACAGTTACAAAGCTTTCGGGTTTAAGTCTCGGTCATACAATGAAACACTCGTACGTTCACTAGTACCCATTCTCCACCACCAAAAACCCCAGTATCCCCCCATCCCACACCCTCCCCCTACCTGTGGGCAGGCAGATGATTTTCACATTACTCTATTTTGATCACATTCAATATTTCGAGACCAGACCCACCATTATTTGAGATTTTACCCCAACACTCAGATCTGCTGAAAAGGCAACAGTAGACAATTTGTGTTCTATTGCTGATTATGAAGAACATATGATATCGTGTGGCTGCAGTAAGGTCATGTGATTTTGAAATTTCAAAATTTTAACATTTAAATCTGGAGGGATCTCTGCCAAAAGCCACTGGGTTTCAAGATTTGCTCCTGAGTCTCTGGGATCATGGCCGCTGAGCAGCTTGATCAGAAGCCAGAAAGGCCATTTGTGGGAGATGACTTGGGGTCTTGTTGGTGTGGGGAGGACAAGCCCGGCTCCACCCCCATCCCATGAGGTCCAACAAGTTTCGTCACTGGGGGCCCAAGCCTGACTGTCCAATGGCCTCTGGAGGATGATGGCCACTGAGCCGCCAGGAGGAAGCAGGCAGAAAGACAGCACCCTTCCCCCCCTGGGGTGGCCCAGCGACAGCAACCTACTGCGGGGTCCGGACGCATTTCTGCCAAAAGCTGCTGGGTTTCAAGATTTGTTTCTGAGTCTCTGGGATCATGGCCATTAAGCAGCTTGATCTGGAGCCAGAAAGGCCATTCGTGGGGGATGACTTGGGGTCTCATTGGGGTGGGGAGGACAGGCCCGTCTCCACCCCATCCCGTGAGCCCCAAAATGTCTCATCACTGTGGGCCCAGACCTGACTGTCCAATGGCCTCTAGAGGATGACGGCCACTGAGCCACCAGTGGGGAGCAGGTGGAGGGACAACACCCTTTCCTCACTGGGGTGGCCCGGGAACAGTAACCTACTGCGGGGTCTGGACGCATTTCTGCCAAAAGCCACTGAGTTTCGAGATTTGTTTCTGAGTCTCTGGGAGTAAGGCCATTAAGCAGCTTGATCAGGAGCCAGAGAGCCCGTTCATGGGCGATCACTTGGGTTCTCGTTGGGGTGGGGAGGACAGGCCCGGCTCCCCCCCCCCCCCCCCATCCCGTGAGGCCCAACAAGTTTTGTCCCTGCAGGCCTGAGCCTGACTGTCCAATGGCCTCTGGAGGATGACAGCCACCGATTCGCCAGGGGGGAGTAGGCGGAGTGACAACACCCTTTCCTCCCTGGGGTGGCTGGGTGACAGTAATGTACTGTGGGGTCCGGACACATTTCTGCCAAAAGCCACTGGGTTTCGAGATTTGTTTCTGAATCTCTGGGATCATGGCCGTTAAGCATCTTGATCAGGAGTCAGAGACGCCGTTCGTGGGCAATGACTTGGGGTCTTGTTGGGGTGGGGAGGACAGGACCGGCTCCACCCCCATCCTGTGAGGTCCTGCATGTCTCGTCACTGCGGGCCCAAACCTGACTGTCCAGTGGCCTCTGAAGGATGGCGGCCACTGGGCCACCAGGGGGAACAGGCCAAGGCACGAAACCTATTCCCACCTGGGTTGTCCCAGCACCGGTAACCTACTACAGGGACTGGACGCATTTCTGCCAAAAGCCACTGGGTTTCGAGATTTGTTTCTGAGTCTCTGGGATCATGGCCATTAAGCAGTTCGATCAGGAACCAGAGAGGCCATGCCTCCAATTCTATAGCTGAGCCAGAGGTGGTTTGTGGGTGTGTCTCCCACATACCTAACTTTTGGCCGTTTACTTTCTTGGTTAAACTTTGCCCCAAATTTTTGGGGTCTGGCCAAAGGCACAGAAGCAATTTTGGGGTATCTGGAAGTCTGAAGGCGCCATCAGGCTGCTGATGCACTCGCCTTACAGGTACAGATTGACCTGCTGGCGGCACCATACCCCTGAAATTTCTTTATATCCCACATAAGATATTCTGCAAACTCATTCTTTGGTTTCCGGAGTGGCAGGCCAGTTTGCAGGGGTGAGTGCAGCGGAAGGGTCTCAGGCAGAGCATAAGGAGAAGAGAAAACGCCCATTAGGTCCCGGGGCACGTGGGCGTTTGCAAAGAAACCCAAGAGACCAGAAGAGAAACCATTTTTCAGTGTGTTGCAAAGGGCAGCAGACTGAGGGGCTCTGGGTGACTGCAAAAGGAGCTGCACTGGGCCAAGCGGCCCTGGGACGCCTGGGACGCCTGGAGGTGGGGCCGAGAAGCTGGCCAGCACCCCTGCATAGGCAGGCGCTCCAAATGGACCCTCAGGCAGCGTCCTAGACAGGGCCAGACGTCAGATGCCTGCGTGTCCACGCAAAGGGGTGCCACCCTGCGTGGAGTCGGGACGCCCAGGAGGGCGTGAGCAGCCGAGGCCTCCTTCTGGAGAGGGGGGGGAGGGCAGGAGGGCAGGAGGGGAGTCCCTTAACAGCACGTGGGTTCTGTGACAGCTGGGCGGGGTGGCCCTGCAGATGGCCCACCCTCCCCTGGAGGCGCTGAGCTCCGGGAGGGCAGCCCTAGGAGTCCCGCAGACCACGAGGCCCAGTAGCACGCGGCCTGCCGGGGGCGTGGCTCCAAAAGGGGCGTGGCTCTCTGACGAGGGGCGTGTCTCGGGTGGAGGCATTGCTCTCGGGCGAGGGCGTGGCTCTTGGGCAGAGGCGTGGCTCTCGGGGAGGGAGAGGCGTGGCTCTTAGGGGGAGGCGTGGCTCTTGGGCAGAGGCGTGGCTCTCGGGGAGGGAGAGGCGTGGCTCTTAGGGGGAGGGGTGGCTCTTGGGCGGGGGCGTGGCTCAGACTAGGGCCGGGACTCTTGGGCAGGGACTCTTGGGCAGGGGCGTGGCTCTGGGGCGAGGGGCGTGGCTAGGATGAGAGTCGGGACTCTCGGACAGGGGCGTGGCTTTGGGGTAGAGGTGTGGCTCTCGAGAGAGGGCCTTGGCTCTAGGGCGGGGGCGTGGCTATCGGGCGGAGGCGTGGCTCTTGAGCGAAGGCGTGGCTCTCAGGGGGAGGCGTGGCTCTTGGGCTGGGCGTGGCTCTCGGGGGAGGCGTGGCTCTTGGGCTGGGGCGTGGCTCTCGGGGGGAGGGGTGGCTCTTGGGCGGGGGCGTGGCTCAGACTAGGGCCGGGACTCTTGGGCAGGGGCGTGACTCTCGGACGAGGGGCGTGGCTCTCGGGGGGAGGCGTGGCTCTTGGGCGAGGGGCGTGGCTAGGATGAGGGTCGGGGCTCTCGGACGGGGGCGTGGCTCTGGGGCAGAGGCGTGGCTCTGGGAGAGGGTTCTGGCTCTCGGGCGGGGGCGTGGCTCTCGGGAGGGGGCGGGGCTCTCGGGCTAGGGGCGGGGCTTCGGCGGCGCCCGGCCACGCCCCCGGCGGCCGGCGCAGGCGCGCTGCGGGCCGTTAGCTGTCAGGCACCGACCCGGCGACGTGCGAGGTGGCTGAGGTGCCCGCGGCGGGAGCGGACCCGGCGGCGGCGGCGGCGGCGACCGCGACCACCGGGCCGGGGGCGGGCGAGGCGAGCGCGGGAGCGGCGCGGCGCCATGGGGAACCGCGAGATGGAGGAGCTGATCCCGCTGGTGAACCGGCTGCAGGACGCCTTCTCGGCGCTGGGACAGAGCTGCCTGCTCGAGCTGCCTCAGATCGCCGTGGTGGGCGGCCAGAGCGCCGGCAAGAGCTCGGTGCTCGAGAACTTCGTGGGCCGGTGAGCGCGGGGACCGTTGGCGCGGGGTGGTCCCGCCTCGGGGCGACGCGCGTCCCCCCCGGGCGCCGGGCGAGGGGCCCCTCGGGGCGCGCCTCCTCAGGGCGTGAGGCGCGGGGGTCCCCTCAGGGTTCGTCACCTCAGGGCGTGAGGCGCGGGGGTCCCCTCAGGGTTCGTCACCTCAGGGCGTGAGGCGGCGCGGGGGGGGGGGTCGTCCCCTCAGGGCGCGTCCCCTCAGGCCTGACAAAGCGTCCCCCGCCTCACACACACACACACACGCACACGGCCCGCGTCTGGGGCTGGGGGGGGTCCCCGGCAGTCGGGGGGCGTCCCCGCCCCCACCCCGCGCAGCTGCCCGCCGCTGGCGACAGGCGTCGCCGGGTCCCCGGCGGGGAGAAAGCGCGCGTTTGTTGCGGCCGAATAAAAGCTGGTGTGTTCGCGGGGGGCGCCGGGCGTCCCCCCCCCCACAGCTGCCGGCCCCGAGGTGGGAGACGCGGCGTGTGTGTGTGTGTGTGTGTGTGTGTGTGTGTGCGTGTGACAGGCTGTGGGGATGTCGCCCGCCGCGCGACACGCGGGCTGTGGGCGCCGCCTGTGGAGACGCCTGACGCGTCGGCTCGGGGGTCGGCGTCCCCGGCGCGAGCGGCCCAGGGTGGCGTCAGGTGGAGACGCGCTTCGGGTGTAGACACAGGGCGCGACGCGCGGCTCTCGCGGCGCCTTGTTGGGGGGGGGGGGGGGGAGGGTGTGTGTGTGTGTGTGTGTGTGTGTGGAGCACCCCCGGGGTCTGGGCGCGCTTGGATGATTTGCTGCCAATGAGACGGCGTATTTATTTATTTATTTATTTATTTGTCTCCTGCACCGTTTTTTTTTTTTTTGTCTCCAGAAACCGACTTTAAAACAAACAAAAAAAAAATTCTTTTTTTAAAATGTGGATTGATTGTGCCCCATCGGCCTCGGGGTCTCTGAGCTCCCCCCACCACAGCGCCTTGCTCGAGCATCGTTTGTTTTGAGTGGGGAGGAAAAGTGACGGGAAAGCGTTTTGTCTACGTCATCGTGGCCTTGGGGGCCTTAGGGATGGGATGAGCAGCGTGATGTCAGACCTGCACGCGGCAGACACCGGCCCCCGGGGTTCTGCTTGGATTTTAGTGATGTTTAGGAAATGTGAAGTGCCTTCCCTAGGTTTGGGTGCGGTATTTTATTTTCTTTTATTTATTTTCAGACACCAAAGCAGTTAACAGAATACTCCTTTAGCTACTTTTCTTCCTTAAACAAATGCTTGAAGATGAAAAGTCTAAGTATCAAAGGCAACTTTCATATTTTGTGTGTGTCTTTCAGATATTTAGCTGCAAGGGTTTGTATTGTAAGTGCATTGTTTGTGGCAAGAGCTTTTGAACCTGATGACAATTGAAGATGCCCCTCTGGTTTTCACATCCCAACACGCTTCTGTTCTGTAATAAAAATTGAACCCAGTTGCCTACATTCTTTTGAAATGAGAAATAAAGAGATACAAATAGAGATATGTAGATGAGTTAAATGCTTTTTTCTTAGTTTTCATGAGAAGACAAAAACAGGAATATTAAAAATATTACACAAGTCAGTTTACTTAAATGTGTTATGATCCATTATACTTTTTAAAGTTTCACCCATAATTATTGCTTTTTTGAGGGGGGTCACACCCGGCGATGCTCAGGGGTTACTCCTGGCTCATGCACTCAGGAATTGCCCCTGGCGGTGCTCAGGGGACCATATGGGGTGCTGGGAATCGAACCTGTGTCGGTCATGTTGGCTGTGTGCAAGGCAAACGCCCTACCCGCTGTGCTATCGCTCCAGCCCCTCACCCATAATTATTAGTAGAGCACCAATTCAAGGGAAAGGATGAACATGGAGAAATTAATTTAATATACAATGCATTTATTATATGCAGAGATGACACCTGTCCAGCAGATCTTACATGTTAGGAGAAAATTTAATTTAAAAGGTCAAGACTTTATTAAAGATTTCCGTAATTGGATTGTTGAGAAATCTAATTTCTAATTATAAACTCACCTTGGGGGGGAAAAAGTAGTCTTCTACTTAGATAGGAAATTCATCCTAGGTAGAAAACACTGTACTCCCTACTACAACCTTAGATTTTTTTTTTTTATTATTATCTGGAAAGTTGCAATGAAAGCTGGTCCTTTCTGCACACACAAAAAGTTAAGGTTGTCTTCAAGAATGGAACTAGCCTCTTTCCATGTTCATATATCCAGTCCTTCAGCCAAGACTCCTTGCTTCGTAAACTAATGATGTTAGCTCATCACTCCAGCTTGCTTGCTTTGAAACAGTGATGCATTTACTCCCCTGGATTCAGCTATCTCTTTTGCATGAAGCTAACCCTAGCTTCTCCTCTCAGATCGTTGACTCATACTAGTTCTTTCTGATGTGCCGAATGGAATTTGGATGTGATGTGTTGACTTCATTGAACTGTAGCTGGAAAAGTGCATTTTTGAGGTGGCAACAAGTTTGAGATTGTTCTGAATAAAGTGAGTCATGAATGAACCAGTTTGTGGTTTTCTTGTGGAAGGGATAGATGTGTCATGTTATGGGGTACCAGATTGTTCTTTCCTTTTTGGTATTCCAGAGATAGAGTTTGACACTGAGCAGGAGCTTAAGATCTAGTGACAACAAACTGAAACTCAGGGTCTGACTATAGGAATTTGCATGCTGGCCTGTGACCTGCCCATTGGCTTCTCCTGTATATGAAAGAATTGGATTTAACCACTTATACATTCCTTTCTTAATTATTAATAACACAATGATGAATGAGATAGAAGCACCATGGACTTAAAGATTTATTGGGTCCTTGCTATGTACCAGGTACTATTCTAGGTGCTTTTACATGGATAATCTTCTTTTTTTTAAAATTTATTTTTGTTCAAGGGTACACCCATAGAGCTCAGGGCTTTGTGCTCAGGGATCACCCATATGTAGTGCCAAGGATAGCACCAGTTCATCTGTATGCAAGACCTTAAACCTACACTGTCGTCTCTCCATCCCCAAATAATCTCTTTTAATTCTCATAAAAGCACTGAGAAGGGATATTCTCTACATTCTACAGGAGCAAAAGTTGAGATTTAGGGAATTTGGGTAACATGTTGATGGCTAATGTTCCTTACCAAAAGAACAATGACACTAAGAAGTGTGGGCCCAATAACATTGATTTTAAAACTGGGGGGCACCCTATGGTTCTCTTCATATTATAATTTGCCAACTCCTCTGATGGTCTCTTTCTTTGACTATGCCAGAAAGCATTTTGCCTATATAAATAACCTGCTCTGTTCACATAACGTTATGCATGTTTATTTGTGCATGTCTACCTTGGCTCATCTCATGGAGGATCTGAGGTAGAAGCAACATTAGGTAAAAGACAAATATTTCCTTTGCCAGATTACAGCTTTCTTGAAGGATGTAATTGCATTGTTTATTTAAGTATGTGTTTAGAGTGCATATAACTTGTTTATAGAGGTACTAAGTGAAAAACTGTACTAGTTGCTCGTGTGTGCATGTTTTTAATGATATACTTGTTAGACATTAGTTCTTCCCTGCTAATTATACAGGCAGACGGCTCTGCATGTTTTAGTCTAGCCTCAGTGGGAAATAGACTTCCAGTTTTGCACAGATGGGCTGGGTTTTGTGATTACTGGGAACCAATGAAAGATTTTTTTTTTATTGTAGGAGGGTGGGGTAGAAAAGGAACACTTGCTCTGTGGTCAGGGATCACTCCTGATGGTACTTGAGGAACTACGTATGGTGCAGGGCGGCTACATGCAAGACAAGCACCTTTTCCATTGTACTATCTCTCCAGTTCTCCAATGAGAGATTTTTAAAACGTGACTCTGTTGAGAGAATTTTGCATTAGTGTAGAAACAGTCTAATAATAATAAATGTATCTGGATGAACAGTCTCTAAAGATGGATTATCTAATTAAGATTGTTTTGCAGAAGAACCATAAAAGGGAGCCATTTGACGCTGTTGTTGAAAGGATACAAATGGGCATTCTTTTAAAAAATTAAAAAGTCAGTTATGAGATTTCCAGAGATACCAGTCTGTTCTTAAATTCTTTGATTAGTTTCAAGAGAGCATTTAAAAACTGTGGATATAAGAACGCTATGATTACAAATGAGACAGGACACAAAAAACATTTTATTAGCAGAACATCTTAAGTTAGAAATAGTTTTATATTGGGGCCAGAGAGACAGTATAGGAGGTAGGGCATTTGCTTGCATGTAGCAGATCCTGGTTGGATCCCTGGCATCCCATATGGTCCCCTGGGCCCCATCAGGAGTGATCCCTGAATGCAGAGCTAGGAGTCAGCCCTTGGTATAGTTTGGTGTGGCCCAACCTCCCCTCAACCAAAAAAAAAAAAAAAACCAAAACTCCACCCTATATATATGTTTTATGTTGAGGGGTAGGATTTTATTGAAATATCATCTGAATGAGTGAATATTTTTTCAACAAATGATTTCCAAGTATTGAATTTATTAGATAAATGGTGCAAATAATTGCAATGTGATAATTGATGAAAATCATCCTCCATGGTTCCCGTGGGAGTTGTTTCAGTAAAGTATCAAAAACTGAATTTTTTTCCCCATCCAACAATGAGTTGCTAGAACCTGAAATTACAAAGATATTTTTACCAAATTAGCATTACAAAATGTACTTTTAGGTTATCACAGATTCTCAGTTGGTTGGATTTAATTGCCAAAATCAACTTAATTATCTTTTTATTAATAATGTCATCTGAGTAGCAGTGTGACTGACTAGGTGCACTCAACCGGATAGGATATCTCCATTTTGAAATTGACTTTTGATTAACAGATATCCAAAAAATGCATTTGATTTCTCTCATTGAGGATAAAGTTGGGCAGTCATCTGGAAATTTGGAGGAGTAGAAATTAATAACCAACTATGTTAGATGGTGTAAGGCTGGCTACCCACCCAAGGTACACTTAGTGTATTAGATAATT